TGAGTAACATAAAATAGGAAAAACTATGCCATCAATTTTCTTCCTCCCTAGGTATGTAGTCTCATCTAACTCCATAATGTTCAATATCAAAAACATGCTAATGTGCCCCAAAACACAGAAAACGTACTCCTAAGGTACAAAATCAAGTTCATCTAACTGCAGCACTAGCATACTCATTTGAATTCTAACTTGGCATCTCCATCAAAACAGAATTTTAAATTTCCTTCCCAAACTCATCCCTCTCCGTGCCCCAATTCCAGTGTTCCCATCTCCCTACATGGCACCACCATCCACCAAGTTACTCATGTCATCAACCAACTGGGATTCATCTACTCAAGATCCTCCACAGCTATCCTTGCAGAGCCTTTTACTACGTGCTGGACAGTATCCATAGGTCATCTATTTTACTTAACCCTTACAACAACTGTATAGAAAAAGTATTAGCATTCCCTTTTTACTGGTGAGTAAACTGAGCCCCTAACTGGGAAACCAAGAATTCCAGGGCAGATAGTCTGACTCCTAATCTACTATACAATTCTGCTTCCAAAACTTATCTCTGTGGATGAAAAACGGGATATACTAAACCTGACAAGTTCCGGGAGTGGGGTGGGGGGCCAGCATGGTAGGCCCCACAAACTCATCGAGACTGGAAGTAACCACATAGGAGGGTCTGAACATAAAAATGCCTAACTAGAAGTGAGCCATAGTGGGTAGTCCTGTCCTAGAGACCAGTGAGTTCCTTGTCATAAGTCAATCTTTAACTTAAGTGAGCCTGTCTACTGTCTTTTTGGATCTAAGATAACACACCTTTGAAACTTCTCCAGACCCCTTAGGGCATAACCTATTGCACAAGCCCACATTGTTATATTGCTCCCAATACCATCTCTATCTTAATTATTAACTACCTTTCAAATGTTAATTATTAACTGCCCTGTACCCCCAAATGTAAGAGAAATGTTTGTTTTACTTTTACCCAATCCCAGAGATTTCCCGTTTGCTCCCCCCGCCCCCCCCAATCTACCACCAATGGATTTCATGTCACTCTCCTTAGACCTCTTCCTCTGATTTAACATAGACGCTGCAAGACTGCCATTCCCCAGAGCACTCCATTGAGATTTTGCTTCCCAGCAACTGTCATCAGTTTGGCTCAAATAAACTCATAAAAGTTCTCTACCGGTCTGGACCTTTCCATCTCTTCTCCCACCACTACTGTGCACCTGGTAGACTGCAATGATTGATCCCTTTTCACTCTGGCCACCCTGAAATCCAGTTTTCTTTTAAATCCTTTTCACCTCAACAAAGAGGTACCATCTTACACCTGTCAGTATGGCTATCATCAACTACATCTACAGGATGGAATACTATGCTGCTATAAAAAAAGGGAACTTTTACCATTTACAACAGCATGGATGGAACTGGAGAGCATTATGCTAAGCGAAATAAGCCAGTCGGGGAAAGAGAAGTATCACATGATCTCACTCATATGTGGGATATACTGATCAACATAATTTGAACAAAAATAGATCCAGGGACAAATGGCAGGGGAGGGAGGGGAGGTTAGAGAGCAATCAAAGGACTTGTTTGCATGCATTATTAGCATAACCAATGGACACAGACACTGGGGCGGTGGGGGCTTGCCTGGGGTGGGAATGGTGGGGGAGAGGGTCAACTGGGGAAAAAGGAGACACATATAAAACTTTAGACAATAAAATAAATCAATCAATAAACCCTTCTCACCACACAGCAGTCACAGGACTTTTCCAGTTTCTTCCCAACCTCTGTCCTCAAGCGCTCACTAATCCTTGATACTTCTGCGGTTCTGCTTTTTCTTGTCCTCAAGGCTAATAAGCCACATCTCTCAGCTCAAAGATCTCCTTCCTCCCTGTCCACCCTATGCGGCTCTCTCCCTTTACACTATTTCTCACGTTGAAAGGGGGCAGAGATAGAATGTTGGGGAACCAGCTCGTATTGTAAGAAATATTAATCATGCTCTGTTAATCATGACTTTTATTCTGATTAAACAAGGCACATTCTACCCAGGCTGGAGCTGACCTGGAGATGCAGCCCTTCCACCCCATTTGGAGCTGCCTATTATCGTGGCAAGATTAACAACGATGCTGCAGAAACCAGAGAATCGCCAGCCCTTTGAAGGTACCCCAGCGTTTTTTGCATACCTGCAGGCCCTTGCAAACCTCCAGCTTGTTTACCCTTTAACTGCCCATCCGGCATTCCCTCTGGCAGTTTCCTCATGTAACCCCAGTCCTTGCATATCACTACGCCCTTTGCAGACGCCTAGTCCTGTTGCGTATCTGTAAACTGCTCTTTTGCCTACTTTTCCTTTGTAGTTCTACCTATATAAGCAGCTAGCTTATGGGGGGCTGCAGAGCAGATTTTTGTGGCTAACCTGCTGCTCTCCCATACTGCCGGTAATATTGGAATAAATATTTAACCCTGTCTCTATTTAATTGGCTCGAGTAGTGACAGGCAGCAGAGACCCATTGTTTGCCCGGTTACAAGGTCTTTTTATCGAAACCAGCAGGCGTTTTCTCTCTCCTCCGGCCCCCTTACCCCTCCAATCCCTCCCGCCACCTCGGTGAGTGAGGGGCAGGACTGTGCCTAACTTGTTTACGGCCCCATTCCCGGGGCCTGCGGGACAGCGTCCGGTGTTTGCGGCACAAAGGAACGGCGGGAAGGCCCGGGGTGTGTGTGGCGTCAGGAGGGCTCGCCCCCAGGCAACGGTCCCTCTTTCGATGGGCTGGAGGAGGAAGTGGGATTTGTTTTGGCTGCTAGGGAGGCAGGACTGGGACTAGTGGGACAAAGGCTGGGGGCCACGACGCACCCAGGGCTGCGCAAGCGCGGCGGGGTGAGTAGCACGC